CGTGGACAGACAGAAGCAATCAGTGTTACAACATAGAAAATATATCTCCTCCCTATCTTACGTGGGGTAAGCGGACTATTTACGTACGATTTATAAATATGCGTAAAGTAAACTTTATATTCTATATGTATGACAACTCTGTTGGGCCATAGAGATAATACCGGCAACTATCACCACAATATACCGATGTAAAGATATTACCTGATGGGGGCGCTGCGTCCAACATTGTTGCAAGGGCTCAGCGCGGCGATGTGACGATAAGCGCTCATTTTGGGGTTACCTCAATTCTTTCAACGGACTTAATGCCAATTAGAGTACACAATATTGTACGTATGAATGGACTGAGACCTTTATTAGTGTCGGATATTGTTATCGAATCGCTCGTGTGGAAATTAGATGGTTATATGCCCTCGGGTTGAAATTCACCCGCTTTTAAGCGTATTAGGTAACATAAAATTTCGGTTCTGAATAGTGGAAACACGAACTGATTAATGAGGACGGTTTAATACTACCGAACGAATTAATAAATAAAAAAAATCTGATAAACACCACATAACATACACGATTATAATAAAAAGCTCATAAAGTCTTTGCAAATCATCCTAAACGTCGGGCAGTTAAGATAGTTGTCAATTTAACTAATACATTCAATTTAAATTCGAGTTTTAAACCGTTAAAATGCTTACCTAAATGTGTACTACTCGTCAACTACAGACAGTAGTACATTCACAATATCATAAAAAAGTGGAGATAAATCCTGATTTATATATTTATCTACACTACTATAAAGGTCAAATAATATAACAATTACAATACACAACGTAAATGTTAACTTAATAGTGAATGATGTGCTGTTGACCCATTTTTAACTACAGGCTTAAGCTGAAAGCTTTCCATTTGCAGACATTTCGTGATCTGGACAGTATTCCTACCACCTATTTCATATCAAGGCTTTAGCTTTTTTTTAAATATGTTTGACCCGATGGAGATCGAATCCACAACCCGTTGATTGTTTGCCAGAAATTGCTACCATTTTACCAATGGGTACAAACGTCCGATATTGTTGTCTACCAATATCAGCTTAAATAATCACCTATTAAAATGTTTAAACTCTCTCCAGAGCATTAGTAAATCAATGTCCGCGATGCGAGGGAAGTCCTGGGGGGACGGCATATTATAACCCGACGCATATCTGCGACGTCACTCAAGCGCAATAAATACCCAAATAAAGCGCAAATAATACCCAAATCGCTCATCATGGCCAGGGCTGCCAACAAATACGATTTCTAACTAAAATTACATAAATCCCATTTAAGTATAATAAATTTCACGTTTTAAACCATTAAAAGTATATATTTATGTGTATGCTAGAGAACAGACATAAGTATGTATTCAATTTGATTACTAAAAAGTATACTCCCATGTAAAAAGCTTTGTAACTAACTAATAAATCGTTTTGGGATTTTGTATGTATTTTTTTAAGTTTAAAATCAAGAAACTTTCAAGTTATACTTACCACTAACAAAAATGGATATAAAATGTATATAAAAGTAATAATATAATATTACAGTAATAATAAATAAAAATCTTACAGGAAATATAATTGGTAAATGCATTAAAAATATAGAATAATAAGAAATCATTTTATTTAGCAGTACACAACTACGTCTAATAAATAAATCAAACTGTTATAACTCCCAAAAAATAAATAGTGTTTGTTCAGTTGATTACGTATGTTTAATTAATTCTTGCAGTTGGCAGCCCTAACCATCCCCTACCTCCCCCAACTATAATTATCTATAATCAGAGCATCGTGTATAATCACTGCACAATATATTGATTACAATTACTATAATTTGCATTTGCGATTCGCTTTCCCTTGCGGTAACCCGAGATGTGTTTTCCGATTCTCAGAGTCGTGTGCGATTTTTTCGAACTCAAAACTCCAATTGAATATGTGGACTTTTAACAGACATTTAATTTTAAACAACTATTTTATATATATTTGTTAAATTTCATTTCATCTATGGGGCAGAGGCGAAGACATCGTACTTCTGTACCATGGTCGAATCGGGATTCAAACCCGGGAAATGTTAGGCAACGCGGTTCATTATAATATATTGAGAAATGAATCAAACAATATAAAAATGTTGTTATTAAAAGTTTGTGCCTTTGTATAAAGACGAATAAGTTTTACTTTTTACAATGTGTCTTAAAATAAATGTCTGCCACATTAGGTACATTTAACAACAATACTTTCAGGAGGTAAGTGAATATTTTTTGCATAAACATTCTAAAAACGTATCTTATAAATCACCTTATTTATATCGCTGTTATGTAGGTGTAAAAGGGACGAGATATTTTCAATACTTTTCCGCAGCCCATAAATTATTCGCCACAGGCAAAGATGACCCCGACCTACACTCGATTAAGCATCACTAGGTCTTCCTTCAATTTCATATTTATAAACGGGGATTACGCAAAAATGCCGGCGTAATGGATCACCTAGCGGACTTAGGCCGGCTTGTTGTGGACGAGGCGGCAGCGGGGGTGAGGCTGGCAAATTTCCGAGGGACGGGGGGGGGCGAGGGTCTGATCGTCGGACTCATCCATCACCCGCCTCACGCATGTGAATTGGGGCGTTTTATCTAAAGATAGCCGTGGATGGATCGCGGTTGTCTATTTAAATATAACGTCGTTTAGGGAAACAGGCTTGGTGATGGTGCATCGAGCCACCTGAAGACACTTGTGTTGAGGATAAGTAATCTATACTAATATAATTAAGCTGAGTTTGTTGGTATAAACGCGCTAGTCTCAGGCTGAAAAATTGTGTGTTGGTTGCACCATTTATCGAGGAAGGTTAAAGTGTTTTATTTAAATCTGTTAAGTAGTTATAGACTTATACCTACCACTCAACCTAAGTACCTACGTATTCAGGTATTACATTGAATGTATAAAATCCCAGTACTTACGGTGGGGCTAACATATTTCTGTGTCTAATTCAATTATTTCGACGGGCCTTTTGATGTTAGGTAGCAATGTACAGCTAATAATCCGTCGTGGGTTTGATCCCCACCACATCCAACATTTAAAATCAATTTATAAGTGTTCTGAAATATAATAATATAACAATTTATACGTTGATCTTCGTCTGGAAATCTTGATATCAAATCCGTCGTAGGAATATCGAAGTTTCGTTCGGATCACGAACCGCTCACAGATGAAAAAGCCGTGAAGTTTATTAACGTTTTGGTTTTGTCGGTGGATTTCCGAATATCCAAGGCCAAAATAGGTGGACAAGGCATATAGTTTAGATATGGCTAGAATATTTCATCTTCTATCAAGAGAGACCTATGATTGTCTGTATTCCTTTATCATAATGTCACCAATGTTTTAAACATTGAATATTCATTCCTTAGTAACTTAGTAACATATTATTTTTTACTCGTGTCAACGTTGAATATAACTTACCAGATTCTACAAAATAGTAAAATCAATCTCCGTCAAAAATCAAACAAAGCTTCGATGAGACTCCTTAGTCTCAATTAAAGGAAATTAGACCGTATTTGAATGTACAATGGTGCATTTTAACCATAACGTACATCATCATATTGACATGTCGCAGTCTCGAACGGTCGCGTTCATTTACCTGTCACTCTGTCACGACTCTCTTGAAAACATACGGACGCTAAATCGGTGCGGTACCGTTGTTCGTGGAATTCCAAGTGAAAGACTACATTCATTGCGAAAGGACATAACGAATAGGCAAAAATTAAGATTCTTATTACCCAAATTTTCGACTCGACGAAAGGATATACCCCAGCTATATAATCTAGATGCACTGTCGCCCTGTTTTGGCTTTGGATATTCCGAAATCCCCGGACTGAAACCGAACGGTGCTCCGCGACCCGAACGAAATATATAATATTCCTACTACCCATACTAATCATACTCAGAGTTCCAGTTACATTTAAAAAATATATAAATTGATTAAAAGCATGTTGGCCTTGGTGGGATAACCCCTCAATCTATTAGTGATTAACGATATACTTCTACCATAAGACGAACTTTTGCGAGTACTTAGATTGAATTAACGTCTTCTTTATTTTCTATTCTGTTCCTAATATATAGGTAATCTAAAAATATCTGAGGTGAGTCTCAAACTTACGTAAAAGTTTATGTGTAGGAACTCGAAACCTATAACCAAAGTTGTTGTGTTTCGTTTCGTTGCTCTTCTTACTATCTCTGATGTTTTTGTATAAAATTGTAACTCTCGTGCCCTGTGTAAATTAAATGGTAAATAATGTAAATAATACAACATCTTTGTAACCTATACAGTATATAAACCGTTCTTAATACATTGAAAAAGTATAATTTACAATAAAATACCGACGTTTAAAACAGACTCAGACTTCGAACCCGTAACAACGCGAACCTGTCGAAAGACGCCATTTCGCCGGAGAAGTGATCGACGTGATACCGGGACTTGTCATTTGTTATCATACAAGCTGAAACGTTCGATATGCCTATTGCAGAGCTATTTAAACGTCATTCTAACTGCGCAGTCGTCGATTTCTACTCGGAGAGAACCTTAGTCATTATTTTTAAAGGATACATTATAATACGAGAGTTTTAAAAAGCCAATGGAAGTTTTGTTCAGAAGGATTACAACACTAGTAAACAATATTTGTAGTATCTACAAATATTGTTTATTAAATTTAATATATACTATGTATTCTATGCTACATTGTATAGGTATAGGTAGACGCTATTAAAACGTTGCTATAATAGTCATTCAGATTCCTATCAATAATAATAGTGTTAAAATTTCTCCTTGAACTATGTACATCGTGTTTCTTCAAGTTAATAGTCTACTATTAAATTAAGTCATAATAAAAAGAAGACGCCGAGAACAAACACGCTTCGCAACGACATTTGCATAGAAAGCAAGAAAAAGCAAGAGTGGTCAGAGTAAAATAGATATTGAATAAGTTATTAGTTTATAAATAGATGAACCCAAACAAATCGGCGCGCTGCGCGACAACCGCCCTTGAACTGAGGCCGGCGAGCGAGGCTGCGGCCGGAGGCTGTAGCGGGGGGCGGGGCGCCGGGCGGCCAATCAGCGCCCCTTCACATTTTTCAGCCCCCGCCCGCAGCGCCGGACGCTGCCCAAAAACAAAAGGATCAAAGTCGGCGAAACCTATCTCTTTCTTTGTGAGGCCCGCAAACGGGCTTCGATGAGAGGATAGATACAGTGTGTCGCGCGGGCGCGAATCGATAAGCGCCGGCCTGCCCCGGCCCCGGGCCCCGCGCCCCCGCACCGGCCCCTGGCCCCTCGGCCCTCGGCCCGCCGGCCATTTGCACGGATGTTTACTATTATTATTTTATTGAACAGACTAAGTGGCGAAATAAGAATTCGCTTATCGGGCCACCGAGATGAGCAATTATCGAATCGACGTTTGCGTCACTCGTGTCGGGCTTTCAGCAGTTCACGCGGGATTTATATGAATCCCTTTAATAGTGAAAACGCAAATGATTGAATTACTTTGTATAACATAAACTAAGCAGTTACTTGGATTCAGACCTCAACAGATTATTACTTTTAGACACGATATTAAAAAGAAGTAAGAAGAATTCATCAGCATAAGTCTTTCATAATTGTAATATGGGAATATCTAATAGCTAGTCTATTCGAAGAGGATTATTTTTTATATAGATTAGTTGTATCTAGTAGATACAAGTAGTTAAAGACATCTTTCGTACCTTATAAGGTTGAATTAATATAGGTATTTCTACCTATGTACGACCTCTTTAGAAAAGAGTTGTAAATACGTCAAGTAAAAGTTGCTCAATTTCAACGATTTTTATGCTTGTATAGGAGTTGTCTGACTATTCCCTTCATTGATCAATTGTAATAGTATACCAACAATTTTCTATTCTGTACGGAAGTAGCTATAAGTACTTATAAATGTAATTATTTAGTTTGTTGTATCGGGAATTTAGTATTTCTTTCAAGGTAGACTTAATACCTTATTTTTACGTAAATAATAACAGTTCCCTGTTTAAGTAGGTACATGACATGTTTCTATTCTAGGCAAATATATTTAAAAATCAAATCAGTATTGTATCTACCAAGTTTCAAAATAGCAAAAAGTGTAAGTAGGTATGAAATAATCCGCTTAACGAAATACACCCAAACATATTTACAAACAATGACAAGTGAACTTCGCTAGCCAGCAATAGATTTTCCCCATAGTAACCAGAATAAGAAAAATATTTATAGGTAAAGGTAGTAATTTAAGTAAATAAGTTACAAAAGTCGGTCATAATTGTTTTACGGATGAAATAATAAATAACATTTTAACGAAATATCAAAAAAATATATAACACAGTCTTTACACCAACAATATTATAAAAATTTCTACTCTGAATTACACCACAAATATTATTAACAGCGCCATCTCTACTGACTTACTAAAACTAAAATCATAGTTCGTGTATAGGCGATTGCAGCGCTCCAATAATAAAGCTTCACAGAGGTTCCCGTCGTAGTTGACGTCTTTTAAACGCAGATGGCGCTGTGCACAAATCAAATTATAAACTTATCAGATTTTACATAGACCTTTTCAGCCCAATCAGCATTCATGTTAGGCTGTAAATTATTGTGCTGTTACGAAATATGCAAAATATTATATTTCTTTCAGATTATGTATATAATATTATGGTGCTCATAAAATTATATTAAATAAATATTACTGCGTAATTACTGTTCAGTTTGCCAGCTATAAATAAAAGCTTCCGTTTATCGCTGTCGATAACAGTATTGACAAATATATTCGTACGATGAAAATAGCTCTTGTACGATAATTATTCTTTTCTCCAAAATTAGTGAGAAATTGATTATCGATAGGTACATTAATAAAAAAAAACTATGAAATGTAAATACGGCAATATCTTAATGCATTGTTCAAAATATAATAATATTATTATTTGTAGCAAAATGAAGCGGAATTTAGAACGAATTCATCCAGACAAAATATACAATATAGTACATTAAAGTGCGTTGTACTATAGTTGCAAATAATATACTAGTATACTGTCAATAAATTGTGTGAAGTAACTTTAGACAAAGTTAAACAAATTCAATAATAGTTATACTGAGTATTATTTATTGTAAATGTAGGTTACGTACGATCATATTTTATCTGTCACAGCACAGCCCTAGCGCTTATTATTGTATTGCAACCAACTTCACTCTGTAAATGTTCGATCTGTTTCAGCTACGTCGAGGCTTGTTCGTTTTTGGAATTGCGGTTTTCGGTAATTATTGTTTTTCCATATTTTATTGTGCACTGTTGTTTATTTTTGTGTTATAACAACTCTGAGGTGAGTGAATTGGCATTTTTTGAAGTAATTATCGACGGCAAAAATTTGGCGCGTTGGATGCTGTCAACAAAGCTTCAGTGTTTAGCACGCACTTGGCGTTATGCACGTGTAAATTGGAGTTAAATGTGTTTTTCGATTTGCAGACATGGCTTTATCAGTTGCGCTACCTCTATCTGGATTGGAGACAGAAAATTTTAACTCGTTCAGCCATATCATAGGCATAGCGGGCCTAGCGAAGTCGCAAACGAGTCCTTGTCCATCTGTATCCAGCGAGTCTAGTGGTATCGGTTCATTGGTTTCGTTAAAATCGGAGTCCGTTAGCAACGATTCCTTGCCGTCTAGTCCTCAGACCACAGAGAAGGTAAGCTGTAGAAATTTGTAATAATTAGCACTTTGTTTGTCTTCGTCCTGGCCTTGACCCCTCTATTTTCATAATATTCCGTAATGGCGTACATACGTCTTACGCTATCAATGTTGTGTACAATTGACGCGTGATAATGGGAAGATTTTTGAAGCTGCTATAATAATGGTGTACGTTATATTGTAATGTTAATTTTTTGAAACTTAGGTTCTCATATAGAATTTTATATATGATAACAATTCTAAAGAGGCGGTTCATTTATACAACCTAAAACCTATTAGGTATTAAAATTAGATAAAAACATGCACATTATGTAAGGCCAATCAAAATTATTGAATATAATGTATTTTTTAATAATTTTAAGAAAACACAACCTTAGAATAAAAAAGTAACACTCTTTGAATATGTTCACCTTTCTTACATTATTATCACCACATTACATTCTTCATTTCAGAAGCTATTTGAACCATTTGTGCAACCACAGCCGCGTCCAAAGGAAAAGCAGGATGTCAAAGTGGTTTGTGGAGGCCGAGACATCCTAAACTTGATGGCTAACCTCACAGATCCTCGTTGGAACTACCGTGCCACAGTGCTGCCTCTAAACAACCCATCACTGTTCTTGGCAAACAGGTCTCAATATCATCGTTTGGGCCCTTACGGGACACGCACACAGTATGTAAATGATTCCTGTCGCGATTGCGGTTTCTCCTGGGTCGTAGCTGCCACAGACTAGCATGATTGCAGATCATAAATGAACAAAATTATACACCAAAGAACATTTTGGCTGATCACAAAGTGGCCCACTACTTTAACTATCAGTATTTAACGTATAATACTGTAATGTTCACAATGATGTTGAAATTTTATAATGCAATTATTTCCTGTTGCATAACACCATTCTTGCTACTGTCAAATTTTTTATAATAAGCCAGTGTTTAAAAACCTTATTTATTAATTAAAAATTACTTACTAGTTGTGCTGTACTTCAAATAATCAAGACACTGTTTTATTGTAAGTAATTTAGTGGTCTACAATTACAAAATGGATGCTACTTCTTGCATTATCATGACCAAATTATAACAGCATTTATACTTTTTTGAGTTAACGCTGCTTTGTGACATCGCCAGCTGCAGTCAAATGTTTTTTGGTGTATCCGCAATTCATGACTGTGGAATATGTATATGATAATCGTCTCGTCGTTTTGTAGAATAACATTTTTAATGTGACTTAGAACTGTGATCTTAATTTAAACAAAGCAATTTTTGACGGATTCTATGAACGCGCGACGATGCATATATGTTTTCGTTTTGTTTTTATTTTAATGTGTGATAATCATAAGGTTATATATATTTATTTTTAATGAAATGAACCACAAAGAAATCGGCATTTTAGGTCCGGATGGATCAATACTCAAACCTCAAATTCCATATCGTAAGTTTATTTAAAGACAGATAATTTAATTATAATTACATTTAGTTCCTTTTAGACATTTTAATAACTTATTATCCAAAGAGTTTATTGTTTAAATCTTCAAATTATATTATGTTGGGACGATCAGTGCAACAAATTGGTCGTACAGTTAAAGTTGATACGGCTACTCCAAATTAGGGCAATATTTAAATTTCAAGTAAGATGATTCTTCCCACCATCATTATAGTTATGAAATGTTATGATCAATAGAAATGAATTTGATATATTCCACAGTCATTTCGATATTATTGACAGAGTTTTAACCAAAAGTCTGCTTCTAGATGATTTGATGAGTTGGCACGAATTTAAGCCGAGCTGTCGCTTAATTTTTAAGGTCTAATTCGATGTTTGTTCGTTGTACCGTCCGTGCATTACATTATAATAGTAATGGCATAATCTAGTGGACACAATCTTTGATGTTTCTCAAGTTTACTTCCTATTAACTCAGCGTGCTTCATTCATGTAATTGTTGTGAACCCAACATCGTGGGTTATTTGTGCATATCATCACAAAAAACAGTGATTAGATGTACTAAGGTAGTTGTTACAGTCTTAAAAGTTTTCGAGTCATCGACATGCCCAGATGCTGGGTCCTAGTGAAATTATAGTAAGTGTCATTGACAGACTGGTAAATCTCTATGTAATTGCATTATATGAATAATATCTGTGGTCTCCTTAAATTAGTCAAGATATTTAATAGTGTGAGTCTCGTAAACTTGTAAGTGATATATAACTAAGCGTAACTGTTAACTCGATACTGTCCTGCTATTTAATTTCGGCTCTGTGATCGGTGTTAAACTTGAACTCGAGTTATTTCTATGATATTGTTGACATATTTTTTCACAAAGTTATTTTTATATAAATGTTAATATGACAATACTATGTAGTTCAATTTTGTTGACTCGCTCCGAGGTTTGGCAAGTCTGGACGGGACCAACACCCAATTCGAGAACTATTTCACTTCCAGTAGTTAAAGTTCATTTCCAAATCAGTGTTATCACGGTCCAAGATTACATTGCATTTTATCAATCGCTTTTTGTCTTATCGCGTCGTATTGAGTCATCAGTATATTTACTTTTCCTCCTTTCGTTTACCGGGCTATGAACTTAATAAGTCTTTAGAGACAAAATTGTAATTGTATTATTTTTCGTTCTACGAGTCTTGACTGAATACAATATAGCATGGATCTCAGAATGCAGCTAATACTTAACTCTACCGGTCATCAGATTTGCTCCCATCGAAGCGTTTCTAATAATTCAGTGTCGACGCTATTGAAAATTTATCGACTTCAAAATCTTCGCCAAAATACTGCTCCTCGTAGATAAGATTCGTTGACACTGCGTTATTATGAGCGGCTCTATATATATATATATATATGCTATATTCTCAGTCGCACTCACGAAATGGTTGTTGCGGTTTTGTTAATAAGTTGCATTCAGATTAATTTAAGTTATAATATGACAAGCTATTATCGAATGTAGTGCAAAGTGTTTTGGGAGAGAAACGCACATTATACAGTAACTCGTCGTTGTGAATGTCTCCTTAAGTTAGGTAGGTACGATCGTTGCCCGGGCGGTCGCGGTGGGCCTCTGGCGACAGCGGACCCACCACGCCCGAGAGCTTGCCAATTCGCCCGACACCACGCCAGGCCGAGGCGCGATGCAATATTTGCATTCCACTTTTGTTTAAGTTAGCAGCCGTGGTTTATTAGTTGTTAATTATTATTTCGCATTGCCAAATATTCGGTTGTTGTGCTATTTATTTATTTTGAATGAATTAATATTATCATAATCGAATTAGGGTCCTTCCGTCGTTAAGTGACAAATGTGTTTTTAAATGTTTACGTCATTTCAATTTTATGCATTTTTTTTTTCATTACATCATATACATGATATTATACATAGTTTGTTGTAGTTTATCTATTGTTCATTCGTATTTATAAATGTTTCTTCTCATTGAACTGTAGTCAAATGACAGTATTTTTGTAACGAAAATTGTATGGGGAATTGAAAAATTTAGGGGGGAGCGCAGGCCGTTCGTGATCTAAAGAGTTGGAACCATCGAAAGATAAACCGAGATCTCGCGAAGTACCTCTTCAGGTCACAGCCGGACCTGTGCTCCACCTGTATTATATCTGATAAGCATTATGTAGGTTTAAATAGAATTAACGAGGAGGCAAACTCCTAGTACCAAATCTTTTATTGGTTTAACGTTGTTCTCGTATTATGGTGATAAGTGCGCTGACGCGGCGCAGAGCTCAATATTTTAGTGACCCTTAAGAAAAATTGATACCTCTTTTAAAAAGAATATATATTTTAAATAGTATATCCGACCATCACGTAACTTTCCCTGTTTTTGTTTTTTAATGTGATATCATAAATGACTGATCTGAAATTAGTTTTAAGTTGGTTGTCGATGTGCAGTGCTATTAAGAGTAAATATTGAAAGTGCCAATGCTCGTAATTTAATCTTCGACTGTTCCTTTAGCTTTCGTAAGAGCCGCCCGGTGCGGGCGGTCTCGCCCACTATTCAGTATAAGCAATCTTCCATCCTAATAACGCTAAGTTTCCAAATTTTAATACATTGTAACGCGTAACGTGCACAATCTCAGTAATGCTTGCAATATTGTACGTGTAATATGTTCGTCACCTTAATCTAGCGTAATTTTAAGAGTACAATATGCGATGTGAAATCATTCTAGTATCAAATTAGCCGAAGATGGTAATATTACGTGTTAGTGTTAGTAGTTGTGTAATTGTGACGTAGCGGCGAGCGGGTAGCTCTCGCGAGAAACGAAAGATGGCAATAATACTCGGAAGCGAGTCCCCGCCAAGAGTACAGGGTCGCGAGGTCAAACTGGACATCTTAGGTGTTAGACAATTTATTTGTTGTAATTATAATAATAGCCGTAGGTATTTTAATCGTACTTAATTATTCTTGCGATGCCTTGATTCTGGTTGTCAATTAGATTCGAGTGTTTATAATTGTTTAATTTATTTTAGTTCTTTTTTTTCGCTGTTCCGGCTTCCTCCGCGAACTTCCAGTCCAGGCTGTTCTTTTAAATGATTTTGAAGTCGATTTATTTTTACCTAAGTGTTCTTATTAAATGTTACCAAAATGTTTTTAATAAAATATTTTTATATGTAATCCGACGTTTTATTGTATAATTCCATTTACCTACAGCTCGTTACGTAATGCAAGCCGTATCAGATGCGAATATTACGAAATGGACATAATCCAATTAGGTATAAGCGCACGACAGAGCGCACAGTGTTTACCGACCGTATACAAAAACAACCTTCTATTCTATTTTTAAAGCTTGTGACGGTCTTACACATATAGGTATCTTAAATGATAGGCACTCTGCCAATAGCGTACTCGAGTTTTCGATCAAGTGCGGAAGCTAATATATCAGATAAAACAATTTGCTTAGGACAAACATAAGAATTAGTTTTATTCAATTAAACATAGATGTGTCGTCATGTTTTATGTAACTAGAAGATCCGTACTTTTGAACCCAAAGTAAACGCCATCTAGTAATAAGTAAGGGAACTAAAAAGTATATATCACGAAATCCCAGTTGATGTTTTATCTACTGCGCCACCTAGCAGGAGCGGTGTAACTAAGATGGCGTAAGGGTATTCATAGATGTTGTTATATTAAATGTATATAAACGCCATCTGTTGGCTCCTAACTAACGTTACACATCGAAATCATCCCTTCATGGATGGACGCCTAAACCCCGTCTCAATGTCACTGTTTTTGTATAGACTCTACAGCAACTACGCTGTAACTATGCAGTTCTACTCTAGAGGGCGCTTTTGCAACTCAGCAAAATATAATAAGTATAAAGGTAATAAATATTAAAAAATCTATTCAAATTACATTTTGTTCAATTTATCGAATTCTATATATGTATTTATAATTTTTACTAAGCCAAGATGTAACAGAAAAATTCTATCAAATCGTCAAATAGCAAAATAACAACCAAGTGCGATAATATTTTGACAAATCCTCGATTTCATTTCCGTCTTGGATAAAGGACGAACGCCGAATTTATTTGTACAAATTGTTCCCGTAATGATAGCGATTGTTTTGTTTGTAATATCCACTTTTGTGTTGGCATAATGGGTGCATTCAACCAGATGGGCGCGAAGTGTCGCTTTTATCAGCTGTACAAAAGGCGCGAATCAAAGATATTGCGGGTTCCGCAATGTTGCCATTGTGGAAAAGACAATTTCGTACCACAGATAACTTGTATTTTTTCATAAGCTCGTTTATTGTAGGAATTTAACGATATAGAATACGATAAAAAATATTTAACAGATTTTTTCTTATACAGTGAAATTTCCTGTTTCCCCCCGAGGAGGATGATGCGAACACGATTATTTACATGCAAGCAATTGATCAGACTTCTGTGCCCGACTAACACGATCTATTGTTTCTCCGGGGTTTAAACCCAGGAGCTTACACACTTAACGCAATACTAGGTAACAGGTTTAACAATTGAACTACAAAGGGGGAGGTTTTTATAATAATATCTAACTTTTATGGCAATAAGTACTAACATTTAATACACATGAAGTTGATGAAAATAAAATATTAAGTCTAATTAGAAAATGTTTTAGACAAATCTGGCACACTAAGACGTTAAAAAAGAAAGTATTTTGAAATTAATTCCTGCCTCGTCGATCTTAGCTATCTAAGGAAATGCTGTATAGGATACGCGTTCTGTTCCAAATAGGCCCCAAATGATATGAGTCGCGATTCGCGATTGAATAGGGGAAAATTGGAAGGAGCTGGAATGATTACGGCACGTTCCCGAACCTATTGACATTCAAGACTTAAAATCGAACTCGCGAGTTTATTAACTTGATACAGTTTATACGACGACGAATAACTACAAATCGTGAAAGAACTTTGTACCTAATACGAAACATAGACAGCAGACTGGCTTCAGAATTAGAATATAGTAGTAAATAAATAGTAGTATTTATCCGCTGAAACCCTCGTCTGCATATGCCATATTTGTTCATATTTAATAAATAAACCTACTGTTATTTCTTTTGGTCTAACTACTGTGACCAGTGTAGGGGCTGTTTTTTAATAGAATATAATAATATACCCTATTACTAAGTCTGTAATTTTTAGTGATTATGCTGTAAAAAAAGCTCTTTAAAACGCAAATTAATATTGAACACTTAAATAACACACTTTAACGGTTTGAAACGCGATATATAATGTATATTAGTTAAAATTATTTTAAGCTTCGGCCCGACGTTTCGGATGCTTTGCAGCAGCCGTGGTCACGGGGAGACTCGTGTTTAAATGTGTACTACTCGCATAAACTACAGACAGTATTTAACTTTACACACAGGTGAGACTAGCTAAATAAAATAAATATTATTCGCACTTTAAACCGTTTGATACTCCTGTATTTACTTTACTCTCTTTCTCTCTCACCGAATGAGTATCTTGTTATAAATTCCGTAATTTCAGTCAGGTCTTTTTCTAATTGTATAAAATAAAAACTTTAAACTACTTTTCTGACGTCTTTGACTATTGGCTATATTGCATATCTTAATTATCACATTTCTGCTGTGAATAAAATCTACCTAACAGAAATAAGAAGCATTTTCAAAGAAGTATATTAAAATAAAAACTAAAGAATCTCGTAAAAATAAAAGTCTTTCAAGTCACCCGAGATCTTGATGCCAACAGAATATAAAGAAGCCACCTAGTTGAAGGATAAGGAGGATTGCAAACGCGCCGGCCTTTAGACAACATTTTACGTCCAAACGCCGCGACTCGTCTTCCAGATCCAAGTGTAGATCGTACGGACCGTCATCGTATCCAGCCTTCTTCAAATGAAACGGCATCTATTTTTAATGAGATCTTTAATAATCATCATTTATTTATTATATTCATTTTTTTTAATATGGAGGTCCACTTGATGTGCTGTCGGCTTTCGATATTCGGATATATTCTTTTTTTATCCAATGAGAATCTTACTCGAGTCAATCTTACATTAATTAATCTCTCCAGTTTACGCGAACACAATAAAACACTTAACGGTTTAAAACGCGGAATCTATTAGTTAAACTTATTTACAAATTATATTAACTCTTTTGTTGTAATCTTTCATTGTTTGTTTTAACTTTGGATACACATAATATGCTGTTTAACTAAACCTTTAGCTGAATATATTTTTTACACAAATATGAGGGTGTAAGTTGAAAGAAGGTGATTTATAGATTTTTGCAAGTCATAGCTAAAACCAAGAAGCACAGCCGACATTTCATCTCTCTGGACATTGTATTTAATAATTAATACGAAATTTAAGGATATTTGCAAACATTAAAACTTACGGTAACCCATTAAGATATATTACAAGATCTATTATTAGTTTTTCGAAGCAATTATTATCATTTTCGTAGCACTAGTGACAGAGATGTAAATAAAATTGACAACTAATCGACAATGTATAATTTCGATTATTAATAATCGTAACAGTAACATATTTAATCTGTGGAATTTGTTATACGGGCGTACGAACGAAGTTTTACAACTGGCGCCCTCTCTCAATGTGTAAAGGCATAACATGTTTTAGTAATAAAATATTTCAGGATACCGCGATTGTTATAGCAAGCATTGTACCCATTTCACTATTCAGTAGACAAAAAGTAACACAATTGGGCCATCTTTTGTTCCACAAGGTTCTTTCAGCTGGAGTCTGGAACAACTGTTACTAAAACGATAGCCTTACAATGCGAGAGTATTGTCGCCAAGTTAATTGTTCTTGCCTCATCTACTCGAGGGTTAGTTAATGGCTGAGTAATTTGGTGTACGGTCTGCGAGATTGGAGGCGTCAATTTGCTTTAAAAAACTGCAACCCCTCGTCCGGATAACGTTGGCATTATGTTTTTAACCGTTTAATTACTATTCAATTGTGATCCCCAGTGGATTACGATTACCTGCTTAGGTGAAGAGTTTAGTTTTAATCGCGTTGCTATTCTTTTGTGGCGGGTGTGAACAAAATGTACACCTACTTGTCGAAATAAGTTAAACAATAGAGATTCCAAACCTCATCACAGGTTCATCTTATGTACCTATGTTTATTTTCATTTACTTCTCACTTAGGTACACAAAACATACCTACACAATGAACTATAGAGTGCACAGTGTTTTATCTATATGAGCGATCTCTTACACGCAACCCGACTCAAAAAAAAATAGGAATAATCAAGAAACTCTATAAAATAATAGATTATTGCTGGAATTGCATGAAAAAAACTTTAGCTGGAAAATAATATACCTGACTGATAGACAGACAAGCTGAAGTTAATTTGATGGAATACCTTAGCCATATAGCATCTAAGTAGACCTAAATAACGAACCCAATATTTGCGGCTGATCTATAAATCCGCGTGTTTCCGCGAAATTAACTCTCCACTCTCGCGCAAACTAAAATATAGAACATTTCCCACAAAGCCATTCAGCTCGCTCGCTAAGGAGTGAATCTTTGAATGCCACCAAATTGTATGAGAGTAGTCCTCTTTCAAAACTTCTAGTGAATAGTGTTAATTCGCTATAGCGAATTTGCCCGACGGTTGTCAATGGACTATTTGAAGACTTGAGGAGCGTGCAGCCTCACAGTCGCAATATTGTGTATGGAAAACGCGGGAATATGAATGGAGGTTCGTGGAAAGGGATACGCAATGGGGCGGCTTTCTAAAGAGCTCTCGGCGGGAATATTCAACAATTCACACACCGGAACGTTTGACATTACGACTCTTCTCAATACCTACCTACTGGATTTCATGTAGCTATTTTGCACGGAGCCAGCGGAGAACTCGAAATCAAAATTAATTTGGCAAAACAGAGGAACTGCGTACATATTTATTTTAACTCTTTAGTGTGACACTGTTCAAAATAGGCTTAATAATACAACTATTAGAGGACAGTAATGATAATAAAAAAACCCTTGTGGGAACGAATATGGAGAAATGTCGGTCGTGCGTAAAGTACCTACGTCAAGATAAAGAACGGTTTAAAAATAGAAACCTCTAAATTCACACCACCAGGTCTCAAGTCAAAGACGTACAACGAACGGAAGAGTTGGCAAGGAAACCTCCGCCACTCCTTTATCACAAGACTTTTGCAAGAAATTCCTCTAATAATCATCATCAGGGCATCAGCCTTGGTTTGGACAACCTCAATGTTGTATGAAGATCTTGAAGAGCCGGACGGACGCAGCTGTAAACTGTCTCCATCTCAATAAATGAAGCCCACTCCGCATCAACCTTCAGCTACTTTGTATCACAAATTGCAATGACACCTCAATAGAGAAATATTCATTGTGGAATGAGAATTTACGCGGGGACCCTCACAGCGCTACATCGCTGAAAGCGAAAAGGAAAAAACGGGGCGTGCCTGAACAAAGCCGCGTACACAATGGGGCCGCACGAACAATGCTAACTAGAGATGCTGGTGCTTGTATCATTCGCAGATAAAGACGGCGCCATCGACACAACACTTGCTGGAGAAGCGCTTTCGGAACCATTTTACCTTCGTAATTAGGCCACGCATAATAAAAGCGCGGGGCGACGTTCTTTTTAGGGTTTGGGGCTTCGCTTGAAGGGTAAAATAGTTACTCTTGTTGAACAACTAAGTATTGTGGGGTTGTCTTTTTTTTTTAAGATCAGTCCTTGGTTGAAAGACACAGTCAAAAATCATTTATTTTTTATAATCTATCATTCTTTAGAATGACAGACAAGATGCGCTATCCTCCTACTTTGGCTTGACATATTCACGTGGGTATATACCTAGGTACCCGTATAAACGTCAAACTAAAGACTCTACATTTACATTTATTACCATTCGAACGTAAAACAAACGAGAAGAAACGGCAAGAAACTCGCCACGATTTATTTTAATCGCCAAGTTTAATTTTACACTTTCCCGTACTTTAAGTGTAGGCACTACATTTATTTTAATTAGAGCATTAGCATGGTCACGGGGGGACCAAAATATTGCTTTTTATTTCTTCTGGACGCGTCTCGTGAACGTTATACACTCGCAACAATTACTTAATTTTCAAGAGCACGTAACACTTGTACTACAGTGTTGGTAATTGGAATCGGTGACATAACAAGTTGATAAGGCGGAAGAGATGATTGCAGTGCAGTGTCATGCGAGATTGATATGGGAATTGCAAATGATATCGCCGATATATATACAAGATTGCCAACATGAAGATTTATAGTTTAAAATTAAGAACTCGTAGCTTCTAAGACCTGATCTTCTGTCATCCAATGAAGATAAGAAGAACAGAAAATTTCATCGTATTTTAAATATATAGTAATTTGTTAATAATTTTAACAAATACATTATTGAAAGTGATATTAAACGTGCACTACCCGTGTAAAGTACAATACGTAACTACTCCGCACTTCTTTATTATTTTTAACATTAGCGTGTTCAAACGAACAACATCTTTATAATATTAGTTTAGATAACTAATACATTTCGCGTTTAAAATCGGTAATAGTGTTTAATTTAAAATGTGTACTACTCGCGTAAACTACAAACAGTAAAAAGAAACGAACAACAAACCCTTTAGCTTTATAGAATTAGTATATCGACTATAAATCGAAGTCGATTTAACTTATACAGCCCTTTCAAACCGTAAAAAGTATTTAATCTTAATGTGTACTAATCGTGTAAACTACAGACGGTACATGACTGCGCCATATTTTTTCATTGTTTTTGACATTAGCGCGTTCAAACCAACAAAGAAACCAACTCTCCAGAAAGAGCGATGCAAGCAGAGCGCCGATGTAAACACATCTCATCGGCGTATTAAAATTGAAACGACACTTAGAACATAGAACATCCGCAAGCTCAGCACTAACAACGGAGTCCACAACAATGTGCCCTCTGAAGAGTTTCGAACAATCGAATGAAGACAATAAGCAGCGATACTCGGAGACAAAAAGAGGCGAAATAAAGGCTCACTTGTTTCCTGGCCGCATTGTGAGGAACGGGAGGGCAGAGACAAAAGCGTAATGTGCCACGGGCCCAAACAATGGGGCTCAGCCATTATTGTACTGTGGCGTTTTAGCGAAATATGTAGCGGCGAACTTGACATGCTGCGACGGCCTTGCTTGACGCTTTGACGAGCGCTCGACGCTTTACGCATTCACTGGGTCATCAGCATAATTCATTTCGGCTGCTGCTCGAAAAGAAAATGTTGAGTTTACCGCCGCAGCAGTTGCTGCAGCGAGAACTACTGAACTTCCGTTTGTTCGGTCGCCGTGCGTGACTTGTTCATTCGTTTCAGTCGCTTGACGCATCGTCGTTCGCATCGCGCGCATTCTTAAGGCGTCGCAAATACAAACTCTATGAGCCCTGTAACTGCACTTTTTGATTTATTTATTAAACCTTTTTTTTATGTATCATAATTGTATTATTTTATCATTAATAATATAGAGAGCATTATTATGCGGCGTATAATGTAGAAATAGATGTTGTTTGTCTGTAAAAAAATAAGTGTGCTTGGTATTAGAATATAGTTATTGAACGATGGTAATACGTATCAGTGTGAAAGAATTGATAAAAAGCTCCACTTTGTGTACAAAAATAATGGTGATTTAATTAAGGTTATATCAAATATTAATATTTATTTCTTGTTTATTTTTTTTTTGTTTAAAACGCGATATATTTAAAAAACATTTAAACCGTTAAAGTGTTTTATTTAAATGCGTAACTACAGACAGTATTTGATTATATTACAGTAATACATATTAGACATATGTTTAATAAATAGTCATTGATTTTACTTCATTTTACAACCCAAAGTAAATAAAAGATGATATAATGTCTGTCCAGCGGAATAAAACATCATTTCGTTACGCGGACAAAAAGATCGCATTCGATTGATCTTACGCTGTATGATTTCAACAGTGCTATCGGCAATAGAGGGGTATAACAAGGATTCAAAAAAAACCCTTTGAAGACAATTTTGTTTTGTACAGAATTATTATATTAAATACTGTCTATAGTTTACGCGAGTACACATTTAATTAAAACACTTTAACGGTTTAAATCGCGATATATTAGTTAAACTTATTTAAAAATGATTTTTAACTTCGCCCCGACGTTTCTTCGGATGCTTTGCAGCAGCCGTGGTCAGTCTCCCCGTGACCCGTTTAAATAAGTTTAACTAATATATCGCGTTTTAAACCGTTAAAGTGTTTTATTTAAAATAATTATTATATTATCATTTTACTATTAAAACGATAAACAAAAATTTAAAAATAGGTTTGTTCTTGCTTGAAAGAACGATAAACCCGTCAGATTAGCGCCGTAACACGTTACGTAACGCCCCTCAAATATCTCGATTTTTCGTCCGAATTAAAGGTCTATTAGCTAATTATTTTCTAATTACTTATACATATTTTGTAATTCAAATATAGTCGATTTTATTTGGAACATCTCGAAAGGCCATTGCATATTAAAACCCTAAACTTAAAAAAATATATTTTATTTAAATACTTTTTGCGTTTTAAACCGTTTAATCGATCATATATACAATAGGTTGATTACATGATTAATATGTGTATGTAGATGATAATTTAGTTAAGATTATCTCTGTAGATTAATTAGTCTACGTATGTATAGCGAGTCCAGCGACCAGGCGCCATAAAGATGCAGATTAGACGCCGGTATTATGCATGTAAATTAAATACGCAAACTACATTCAAGCAAATATTACCAAAAGCTGCTGCCCACAGCCGCACGCAGCACGCTCGGCCGGCTCTCAATGCAGCCTCCGAGGCACGTATCAAAATTCAATCTTTCACTATTACATTGCTATATTCAAATTGAAATTAGATTTTTCCCTTTGTAACTCGAGTAGTGGATGGATCTGCCGTATCTCACGTAGAAGCTTGGATTAGACGTATTTTCACATATGAGGCTGCTAGAGCCAGAGTGGCCTAATAACAAATACATGATTTTTAATAAGGATGAAAATATAAATGCGCCATTAACTTAGGCGATAATTAATTTGTACTATTTATTGTGTAAGAATTATGTTAACAATTTTCGGTCACTGTGCTCGTTTTTAGACTATGATAATATAAATAAGTCAAGCTATAAAATTGCAGTTAGGCTACTCTGCCTCTACCGGCCTCATTTCATGGTCCACCACTTTTAACAGTTTAAAACGCAACGTATATTAGTTACCCGTGACCAGGGTTGCTGCAAATCATCTAAAACGTCAGGGCGTAGTAAAAATAATTTGTATATAAGATAACTATTATATTTCGCGTGTTGAAGCGACGAAATATAGACTTAGCAATCTAGTTTCATAAATGATATTTTTTAGCTTCAAACAATAATATCCAACACAACGTCCACTCCGTGATTAATGCAATTTAGCGCGGAGGGTCCGGCTTCCATTCATGATTACATTGTGGGTAACTTAGACCACAGAATCACTTGTATTATATTGCTAAACAAAAGTTAGTAACTACCCTCACATATTTTAAAGATGGCCATATAGATTTTTTCAACTTTAAGAAATGCGGTTTTTTTAAATGATAGAGAAGGACAGACGAGCACGGGTTAGTTGACGGTAGGTGAAAGACATACCTATAGCAACTAAACATTTTGCGCTGTCGACCTATTTTAGCTTTGGATATTCGGAAACCGAAACGTGATTAAACTTCACTGCTTTTTCATGTATCGCGGGTGTTCGTGACCCGGACGGAATTTCGATATTCCTACCGCCCATAAATATTGAGTTTTCCAAACGAATTCCAACGTGTTTCAGATAAATGATAATCTAATTATAAAAATATAGGACCCGGTGGGGATCGTTCCCACGACCCGTTTATGATTAGCCGTACATTGCTATCTTTACACAAATGAGCCAGTCGATTTCTTTTATTGTTTACGTAAATATCAGATGCTGGCGCTATATTGGGATAAGTGCCTCCAATTTGTTGGCCTTGCATTTCTGATGCCTTACCCGACGTTGCCCTACGCAATTTTGTCAAATCAAGTCTCTATTACTATCTACCGTAGATAGTAAGGATTTTTAAAAGTAGAAAACTTTTAAAAAAAAAAAATTAAAGGGGGTAAAAAGGGAAAAATAAGTAAAAATTTTTGGGAAAAACCCCCGGGGGCGGGGGGGGCGGAAAAAAACCGAAAAGGGGGGGGGGGGGGAAAAAAAATTTCAAAAAAATTTTAAAATTTAAATCGCGGTTTTAACCGTTAAAGTGTTTTATTTAAATGTGTACTACTCGCGTATGCTTAAATGTTTCTAAAGAAGCGTAATTTTATTATTTCTATTATACCTGGCTCGTTGTTGTGATGGTAGTAATGTATACATCGACAAGTCGTGGATTCGGTCTCCACTGGGTCTGTATCTAATTAATTTATAATTTCTCTTTAGAGAAATTTGCAATGTTTAATGGCTGGTAAGAATATCAAAAGTCCTTCCGAGACACGATTCTCCGTCCACCGATGAAAAAGCGGTGAGGCTACGATTTCAGTCTTTGGACTTCCGAATTTCCAAAGCCCATATTGTTTGCCTTGTTACCCATGTCGGTTATTATTTTTAATTTGTATAATTAAACCTTTTTACATATCGCGTTATGTTAATTACATAATGTAGCTACAACTACACTGTTTAGAATAATCGATAGATCTAATTACCTCGCGATCTGTGTTGCCAAGTCACTATCTGACGAACAAGGGCTTTTTTTCCCGGCCCCCGTTTTTTAATATTATTAAAAAGCCGGTGGGGGTGGCTTTGTCCAGTCAGGATGATCCGATCTCATTAACCAGTCATTGTGGTGGTGACGAAACAATGCCCGCTGGTCAACTTGCCTACCTAAGCAATTTTCATTCAGTTTCTTGTACGAGGGTACAAGGGTTCGAACCGGTATTAGCGGACGTTCTATACAGGCAACAGAGGTCACTAGTAACTACTGTTATTTATATACAGCTCTTTTATGGGACAAATAAAAAATACTTTATTGTCACCACAAAATTAAATGATACAGAAATAAGATATATACATATATACGTAACGAGAAGCGGCGGTCTTCTCTAAAAACCAATTTCTTAAAAGCAACCTTGAAGATGGAGATGTATGATAATAATCTATACTAATATTCAAAGCTAAAGAGTTTGTTTGAACGCGCTTATCTCAGGAACCACTGGTTCAAATTGAAAAAATATTTTTCTGTTAATTAGATCAATTATAAAGGAAGGCTTTAAGGTTTAACACGTTACGATGCAACTAATAGTATCAAATATATAGTGGGAAATGTGAAAGAAACGGGGAAAATTATTGTAGTTTAGATTTCCGTTGAATGCGCTGTGAATTGACGCCCAAAATCACTATTCTACGCGGAGGATGTCATTTTAATAATAATATTAAATTAAGTGTACTGATAACAATAAACATTTTTACATAGGTTTGATAAAAAACACATTGCTCTACATTTTTATTTTAAATAACGCGTTATGTTTAGGACGATATAGGTAATTATTAATACTAACAAGCACTAGTCAATAATTTATTTTTATAGTGTAGTAATAAATTGTGTAAGGCTTTTACGGACATCGTTCATCATATCATTGTTTTTCGAGCTGCTCGAGCGACGTGAGCGAGAAGAGGTTCTCGACGTTTCGCCATCACGAGCGGACGGCATATCATCACGAGATGTTGCTCATCGAATGCTCGAAGAATAACAATTATTTTTTATTTCACACTTTGTTTAAATCATTATAAACGAAATTACCTATCTCTCTTTAATGTCCTTAGGAAGTTAAAAAAAACAGCTTTCTAAGTGTACAGTAATTTAATTACAAAAGGATAAAAATTATGTTTTATTAAAAAATATTTACTTAAGTAAATACTGCAAAGAGTATTTGTGAGTTACACATTGTTGTATTTTATATTTCATTCTACATACAATTAAATCAATAACTTAAGGGAAAAGTTTAATTACTTCGACCATTTTCTTGTTTCAAGAACATTGTAGAACTTGTTTGTAAAGAATGTGCATGGCTTCCCAAGCAAACAATTTTCGCATTAAAAATTAACATTACAATTTACGATATAAAATGACTTTTGTGTCTGGACTTTACAATTTTTTTTATTAACAAAAAATATAAGGCTATATTTATTGTTGTCTCTATGAGACGAGATAAACGTATTTTTGTGTTTAGAACTTATTCAAATCAAATCATCTTTGTTTTTTATATGGTACGGAAAGGCCCCAGTCCCCACACTAGGGCAGTTAAAAATTTTTATTTTAATGATATCACCTCGTTGATTTTGTTATGTTAATATGCT